GAAATTGACAATTCTAGCATCTAACATTTGCTGAGATACATGAAATGTCAATTAAAACCTTTAATCAAACGATTAACAGGGATTCAAATTTGACCGACAAGAACATGATGCTCCTTTGATCACGAAATTTCCACAAAGAGTCCGTGTCTGCGTAATTAACCAACAATTCTAAGGGTATTTACGTAATTTTATCTTAACAAACAAAAAAAATTAACAAAAAAAAAACACGAAAGAAGATGGCGAAGAAAACGGAAAGTAGAGAGATAAAGAAAAGAGATAATATAGGAGCGAGAAAGAGAAGGAGACGAGCTGGATTCACATGGTCTTGTTCTTTCTCTCTCTCTCTTCTTTCTTTTTCTCATCTTGCGGCTTCTCTCTCTCTCTCTCTCTCTCTCTCTTTCCACAATGATCATTACCAACCAAACTGATTGAAACTCATTTGTTCTCTCTCTCTCAAATCCACTTTCTCTCTCTCTCTTTCTCTTCTCCTCTCTGTGTCTCTATCGCCATGGCTGATGATAAGGTAAAGCTACTTGTGTTCCTTTTGCTGTCTGTTAGAGAAGAAGATCCTGTTTCTGATTTTCCACATTTGACCCTTCAAATTATTGGTCGGAGAGTCTTGTTCTTATACATGTATCTAGTTTAGTTAGTACTCTTGAAGTTGAAGGGTTTTTGAGTTCTGGATTTGTCCAAAGTTTTGAGCTTTGGTTAACTTTTTTTTGAGTTACCTTGAGATCTCTGAGCTCCAGACATGGTTGCTCAAGAGTTTGATTTCTGAGAAAAATAAAACTGATTTGTATCTCTGTTTAGGATTTTGTGAATTAGCTCTGTTTGGACGATCCATGTCTATATGTCTCAATCTTTGATTAGTCCAGAGTTTGTACAAGTTGTTAGATCCAGAATTGAACATAGATTCATTCTTTTGTTTATATGTTTTTGTTTTGTTTACCTTTCTTTTGGCGTGACAAAAGTATATATTTTTTTACTAAATTAGATTCACTCTGCGTAACGGCTATTTCTTAACCACTCTTTTAGGATAAAAGTTTCCTTCTTTAGGCTTTTGATTCTCAGACAAGCATTATGCTTTTAGCTTTTGATTATGGTTACCTGTGTGTTTTACTGATCTTAAAGCTTGTCTCTTTCAGGAGATGCCTGCTGCTGTAGTTGATGGACATGATCAAGTCACTGGTCACATAATTTCCACCACAATCGGTGGCAAAAATGGTGAACCAAAACAGGTATTTTTAAGGCTTTTAACCTAATAGGTTCACTTTTATTTATATGCAAGAGTTGATTCTAACCATATTATTTTTCTATGTTTTTGTTAGACAATTAGTTACATGGCGGAGCGAGTTGTTGGTACAGGCTCGTTCGGAATCGTTTTCCAAGCGAAGTGTTTGGAAACTGGAGAAACCGTTGCGATAAAGAAGGTTTTGCAAGACAGAAGATACAAGAACAGAGAACTTCAGTTGATGCGTGTGATGGATCATCCGAATGTGGTTTGTTTGAAGCATTGCTTCTTTTCGACAACAAGTAAAGACGAGCTTTTCCTCAATTTGGTTATGGAGTATGTCCCTGAGAGCTTGTATCGAGTTCTGAAACATTATAGCAGTGCTAACCAAAGAATGCCTCTTGTCTATGTTAAACTTTACATGTACCAGGTAACAACAACACACTTTGACATCTTCTGTTTACAATGTTGATGTACATAAAGTTGATATTAAATCCTTTTGTTATTTCAGATCTTCCGGGGGCTTGCTTACATTCACAATGTTGCTGGAGTTTGTCACAGAGATCTAAAGCCTCAAAATCTTCTGGTATGTTTTTACATTTTAAGATTGAACTCATTGTTTTTTTTTCTTGCCTTGTTTCTTTCTTTGTTAATGTATCTCCTCTGGTCTCTTTCAACAGGTTGATCCTCTTACTCACCAAGTCAAGATCTGTGACTTTGGCAGTGCGAAACAGCTCGTAAGACTTTGTGACATATAAACTCTTTCGACTTGTAGCGTTTGTTGTTTTGTATGATCTTGTCACTTACTGTTGAAATTTACTTTTGCTTCAGGTTAAAGGTGAAGCCAACATTTCTTACATCTGTTCACGATTCTACCGTGCACCCGAACTCATATTTGGTGCCACTGAGTACACAACTTCTATTGATATCTGGTCTGCTGGTTGTGTTCTTGCCGAGCTTCTTCTCGGTCAGGTAAACAATTTTTCCAGTAACCAGCTTCTTTAGTCTCCATGTGTATTCGCATTAGGACTCATTGTGACAATATCATGTTCTAATGCAGCCATTATTTCCCGGAGAAAATGCTGTGGATCAGCTCGTTGAAATTATAAAAGTAAGAATCTTTAACAATGATATTTTGCAAATTACATTCATTGGTTACAAAATTCTCACTGTACGAAGTTGTTGGAAACAGGTTCTTGGTACACCAACTCGAGAAGAAATCCGTTGTATGAATCCACATTACACAGATTTTAGGTTTCCACAGATAAAGGCACATCCGTGGCACAAGGTTTGTGTCTTTTCTCCTTTAACAAACATTCTTGTTTCAGTTTCTACTTCACACATCAACTAATCATATTTACATTTTGATTTTAGATCTTCCACAAAAGGATGCCTCCAGAAGCGATTGATTTCGCATCGAGGCTGCTTCAATACTCTCCAAGTCTTAGATGCACAGCGGTGAGCATTGTTCTTGCAAATGTTTTTGTCTTTATTCTCCAAGTATCTAATTGAAAGCTTAATATATTTTCATTTTATGCGTATATCAGCTCGAAGCTTGTGCACATCCGTTCTTTGATGAACTCAGAGAACCAAACGCTCGTTTACCAAATGGACGGCCATTCCCGCCTCTCTTCAACTTCAAACAAGAAGTAGCTGGAGCATCACCTGAACTGGTCAACAAGTTGATTCCAGACCATATCAAGAGACAATTGGGTCTAAGTTTCTTGAATCAATCTGGAACATAAAAGGATTCTGCAAAAGACAACAACTTTTTATATATAAATGTACCATTACACGAGCCACAAGGTCGTAGTAGTTGAAGGCAACGTGGAGGACGCAATTCGAAGTTTTTCCTCCGCAAACTCGTTCAGACATGCCAGCTGCTAGCAAACCAACTTCCCCAAATCTGCAAAAACAAAAACTCTCCAGTTGTATCTGTTTATTTCTCTCTTCTTTTATAAGTTTGGTGAAGAACACAATCTACTCTTTGCTTCTTTTCTTCTTTCTTTCCCCATATGTAAATGAGTTTAGTCAGAAGTTTTTATATAGTAAAGTTTGAGCAGAAGGTGAAGAATCTAGTCAAAGTGATACCAAAGTGTTTCATAAGACTACCAGAAGAGGAAAGGCTGGAGTTTCTGCAGTTTAAAGGGGTCTTTGGCTTTTTTTTTTTTTTTGTTTTTTTCCTACTTTTGAACGTTTATCTTCTATTATTACCAAGTTTTATGAAATGGTTTGTTTATGACTCATTTTCTTATGAAGGCAAAATCTTAATGCTTTTTTGTCCTTACATCATTTAAAGATAGGCTAGAAATGTTAGAAAATGATTCTAAATAATCCTTAATATTTGGTTTAATACAATATAATCGCATGGAAGACAACAATCCGTTGTAGTCTAGCTGGTCAGGATACTCGGCTCTCACCCGAGAGACCCGGGTTCGAGTCCCGGCAACGGAGATCTTTTTTTAATTTCTACTCAGAGTAAGGGGTATTTTCGTCATTAACTTCGAGAAAGAAACCCTAGTGTCTTTCATATAATTAGCACACTACGCAGCCGACGCAATTCGTCTGCCACTCTTTTTTACTCATCTCCTTCGATTTCGAACTCCTAATCTTCAGATGGTAAAGTTTCATCCTTTTGATCTATAGATTGCTAAATTCCATAAGTTTGATTTTGTATTTGGGATTTAATTATGTATTTACGTGATGCAGGCGTCGGAGAAGAAGCTCTCGAACCCTATGAGGGATATTAAGGTTCAGAAGCTAGTTCTTAACATCTCTGTTGGTGAGAGTGGTGATCGTCTCACTCGTGCCTCCAAGGTTCGTTCTTTATTTCCCTTAGAATACTCACTTGGTAGAAATAATGCAAACAGTGGAAAAAATTGAGACTTTACGTTTTAGCTACTTTGAAAATGGGTTAGTTCATAGATGGCACTGAGGAATTGGAATTGAAAATTTTATCCTTTCCACTTTATGAATCGAGGGTTTTGGTTATTGTAGGTGTTGGAACAGCTCAGTGGTCAAACCCCTGTCTTCTCTAAGGGTATGTGAATATGTATTCATGTTGAATCTCTTATGTGTTTTAGAGATTGTAGAGCTCAATTTTAGTGTTGTCTTGATTGTAAACAGCGAGGTACACTGTGAGGTCTTTCGGTATCAGGCGTAATGAAAAGATTGCGTGTTATGTCACCGTTAGAGGTGAGAAGGCAATGCAGCTTCTTGAGAGTGGCTTGAAAGTGAAGGAATACGAGCTCTTGAGGAGGAACTTCAGTGACACTGGCTGCTTTGGATTCGGTATCCAGGAGCACATTGATCTTGGAATCAAGTAAGTGATGTGATAAGTACTTAGGGGCGTATTTAGTAAAACAAATTTGATTATGAGAGGAATGTTCTCATTATTCTGCATTTCTTTCTTAGGTATGATCCTTCTACTGGTATCTACGGTATGGATTTCTACGTTGTTCTTGAACGCCCGGGATACCGTGTTGCCCGTCGCCGTAGATGCAAGGCTCGCGTTGGTATTCAACATAGAGTTACCAAGGATGATGCCATGAAGTGGTTCCAAGTTAAGTATGAAGGAGTTATCCTCAACAAGTCTCAGAACATCACTGGTTGAAGAGTTTTTTTCATTTTGTTTTGTGGTGTTAGCTCTGTTTCAAGTTATTCCGATTCTGGATAGTAAGGATTTTCTTGTTGTGGTAACCTTTTTGACTTCAGTTGGTTAAGAATCTTCAAGTGCCTTCTAAATATGAACCATTTTTGGGAGTTTTAATGTTACCAATTTAAAACTTTTTCAGAATTTAGTTTGACCACAGGCAAGAAATGGAGATAACCAAACTTTTACAAGGTTGAGATTCTTGAAAATGTATCAACTTTGAGTATCCTTTTATTCCTCTGTTCTTTGCAACTTCTTTGAGTTCTGCAAGTTTCATAGTTTCCATCAATGAAGCTTTCTCTTCCTTCACGTTCATTTCCCCTAAAGCTTTATTGCTGTTTGATAGTGGGAGCTTACCTCTTGGACCTGAGGCAGAAGGTATAGGAGTTTTCTTGGCGAAATTAGACGGTGGTTGAGAAACCTCTACTGGTCCCTTTGGTGGCTTCTTCTTCACACTAATATCTCCTACAGTTGTAGAGTTGATTATATTAACAAATGGCAAGAACATGGATTTGGAATTTGATCAAGAATCGTTGATTACCCTCAGTTTTTTTTCTTGATTTCTCAAGAACGTCAAGAATAGCTTTGGTCAGCGGCTTTTCCTTAGAAGACTCATCGCTGTTCTTCTTTTCCTCAATTCCCCGAGACTCTCCTTTAGAGATCGAAGATTGAATCCGTCTCAAGAGAGAAATGATCTCCTCTTGGTTTGATTTACTCGGGTTTGACGTTTTCTTGCAACAAACATATCCTTTGTTGGATCTCCCCATTGAAGTAAAAGAAGAACCACCTTTCTCGTGAAACCAAATTCTTCTATCGCCATTAATTGTTGTTCTCGAAAGACTCTGCTCAAACCGCAATGCAAACAGCAGTGAAGGTGTATCTGCAATCTGTCTAAATTTAGTTAGCTGTACATAAAAAAAAATGGTTTTGGCACTTCCTAAAGTTCTACAAAAGTCGGAACATTCCCATAATCTCTATTGATTTTAGCAAGATCCGATTACCTCGAACAAGAAGATGATTAGCTGATTTAGCTCTCCTGAATCCTTGTTTGATCAACGGGTAAGCACAAGGACAATGAAGAGCCAAGTCCATAGCCAAAAGTCCTGCCTTTCCCTGAAAATCAGAGATAGTCTTCCAACAATTCTCACTTTGGCCTCTTTCCTCACAAGTCACCACAAAAAATCAAATATTTATGCCCCAAAAATCTAACCTTTATATGTTGGGGTCCAATTACAGCTCTGCAAAAACTTGTGGACTATAAATGGCTAAACTTTGAAGTTTTTTGGTTGCTAATAAAAAAACACTTTGAAGTTTTTGGAACATCGCTCTCAAGTCAAGTGGGCTCTGATTTTCACTAAGAGACTGAAATCTGCGGAAACAAGTTTTACTGAAGAAAAATCAATTTTATCTTACAGAAGCATTACAATTTTCCCGCGCTTTCTCGTTTGATGAGTAGAGGAAGATAAGAGAAATGGCGATGTTGGTGACGAATTTGTCTTCTTCAAGCTTCTGTTTCTTTTCCTCTCCCCATTTTCAAACCCACAAAGAGCTCAGAAGCGACGTTAGAGTTCGAAAAGATGTGATTTTTAACAGAGCCTCGTTGAGAACAGTATCAGATCGTGCGGATTCGATTACAACGTTTGATCGAAGCGTAACAGATGCGAACACTCAATTACGGAGATTCTGCGAATCAGGTAATCTAAAGAACGCCGTGAAGCTTCTTCATGTATCTGGGAAATGGGATATAGATCCGAGAACTTTATGCTCTGTTCTTCAACTCTGTGCTGATTCAAAATCTCTGAAAGATGGTAAAGAAGTTGATAACTTTATTCGTGGTAATGGGTTTGTGTTAGATTCGAATTTGGGATCGAAACTAGCGCTTATGTATACAAATTGTGGGGATTTGAAAGAAGCGAGTAGAGTTTTCGATCAGGTTAAGATCGAGAAAGCTTTGTTCTGGAATATTTTGATGAATGAGCTTGCAAAGTCTGGTGATTTTAGTGGGAGTATTGGATTGTTTAAGAAGATGATGAGTTCTGGTGTTGAAATGGATAGTTATACTTTTTCTTGTGTTTCAAAGAGTTTTTCGTCTTTACGAAGTGTTAATGGAGGAGAACAGCTTCATGGGTATATTCTGAAATCAGGTTTTGGAGAAAGGAACTCTGTTGGGAATTCTCTGGTGGCGTTTTATTTGAAGAATCATAGAGTTGATAGTGCACGTAAGGTGTTTGATGAAATGACTGAGAGAGATGTTATATCTTGGAATTCTATTATTAATGGGTATGTATCAAACGGATTAGCTGAGAAAGGGCTATCTGTTTTTGTGCAGATGTTGTTTTCAGGGATTGAGATTGATTTGGCTACTATAGTTAGTGTTTTTGCTGGCTGTGCTGATTCGCGTTTGATCTCCTTAGGTAGAGCTGTCCACTGTTTTGGAGTGAAAGCTTGTTTTAGTAGAGAGGATAGGTTTTGTAATACATTGCTTGATATGTATTCGAAATGTGGTGATCTAGACTCTGCTAAAGTTGTGTTTAGAGAGATGAGTGGTCGAAGTGTTGTGTCGTATACTTCCATGATTGCTGGTTATGCTAGGGAAGGTTTGGCTGGTGAAGCTGTGAAGTTATTTGAAGAAATGGAGGAAGAAGGTATTAGCCCTGATGTTTATACCGTGACTGCGGTTTTAAACTGTTGTGCCCGTAATCGGTTGTTAGACGAAGGCAAGCGTGTGCATGAGTGGATAAAGGAAAACGATATGGGATTTGATATCTTTGTATCGAATGCTTTGATGGATATGTATGCGAAATGTGGAAGCATGCGAGAGGCGGAGCTAGTGTTCTCTGAGATGCGTGTGAAAGATATTATCTCTTGGAACACCGTTATTGGTGGGTACTCAAAGAATTGTTACGCCAACGAAGCTCTAAGCCTGTTCAATTTGCTGTTGGTGGAAAAGCGATTCAGTCCTGATGAGAGAACAGTGGCATGCGTTCTTCCGGCTTGTGCAAGTCTTTCTGCTTTCGATAAAGGCAGAGAGATCCACGGTTACATCATGAGAAACGGGTATTTCTCAGATCGCCATGTTGCTAATTCGCTTGTAGATATGTACGCGAAATGTGGAGCGTTGTTACTCGCACGGTTGCTCTTTGATGATATTACTTCCAAGGATCTTGTTTCTTGGACAGTGATGATAGCTGGATATGGGATGCACGGGTTTGGAAAAGAGGCGATTGCTCTTTTCAATCAAATGAGACAAGCGGGTATTGAGCCTGACGAAATATCTTTTGTATCTTTGTTGTATGCTTGTAGCCATTCAGGACTAGTGGATGAAGGATGGAGATTCTTTAACATCATGAGACATGAATGCAAGATCGAGCCAACAGTAGAACATTATGCCTGTATAGTCGACATGCTTGCAAGAACCGGAAACTTGTCAAAAGCCTATAGGTTCATCGAGAACATGCCAATTCCGCCAGATGCTACTATCTGGGGAGCTTTGCTGTGTGGATGCAGGATACATCATGATGTTAAGCTAGCTGAGAGAGTCGCAGAGAAAGTCTTCGAGCTTGAACCAGAGAACACAGGATATTATGTACTCATGGCGAATATCTACGCAGAAGCGGAGAAATGGGAAGAAGTGAAAAGGCTAAGAAAGAGGATAGGGCAACGTGGATTGAGGAAGAATCCGGGATGTAGCTGGATAGAGATAAAGGGTAGAGTTAACATCTTTGTTGCTGGAGATAGTTCAAATCCAGAAACCGAAAAGATTGAAGCTTTCTTGAGGGGGGTAAGAGCTAGAATGATAGAAGAAGGGTATTCGCCGCTGACTAAATACGCTTTAATCGATGCGGAAGAGATGGAAAAAGAAGAAGCTTTGTGTGGTCACAGTGAGAAATTGGCAATGGCTTTAGGGATTATTAGCTCTGGACATGGAAAGATCATTAGAGTTACCAAGAATCTAAGAGTTTGTGGAGATTGTCATGAAATGGCCAAGTTCATGTCTAAGTTAACCAGAAGAGAGATTGTCCTAAGAGATTCAAACCGGTTTCACCAATTTAAAGATGGACATTGTTCTTGCAGAGGTTTTTGGTGAACATTGAACTGTTTCATGTAATGTACATTGTTCTTACCAGACCGGTTTAAGGTTGGAACGGTCCTGATGTAATCATTGAAATTGAATCAATTAGAACATGAACAGGTCATGATAGTATCATTGCTTCAAAGGGAAACATAACCACCATTTTGCATTTACTCAATTACTTTATTCATTCAAGTGTTTGTTACAACTTTTCAATCATTTTGGTCAAGGTCTTAACCAATGACACGTTTTCTATTTTTGGACCAATTGAACCATGTTCAAGCGCATGTGCAGTATTACATAAACACAACTCATGAAGGAACAATGTTTGTTGAAGAAAATAATTGATAAGAATAATTCAATAACTATTACAAATAATCCTTTAACCACCACATACACTTACAAATTACAATAAAATCTGAAAATAAACTAAACAAGAACTACTAAATTAAAGTATTAAACCCATTCAAATGTGAAATCAAAGTAAAATAGGTGTAAAAATAAAATAACCAAATTAAAAGAAAAAAAAAAACTTAAACCGGGATTGGTGTGGAGAACCGGTTCGGTTATTTCTCCAAAAAATCACTATCCTCTTCTTCTTTCATCAAAGAACCCTAATCACTCTCAAAGATTAGGTCTTTTTTTGCTTTTTTCTGTATACAAATTTCTTGGAATCAACCACACCATTTAGCGAGAAGGATCATGAAGATGATCAAGAACACAAGCGAAGAGAGTCCAATAGCAACACCAAGCACAACTTTATTAGGACCATGATGTTCTTCTTTCTTCTTCTCACTAGTATCATCTTCATTACCATAATCATAATCTGAATTCGAATCTTCTTTCTGAGGCGGTGGAGACAAAGGCAAACCATGTTTATCACACTGAGCAATACCCAATTTCATCTTCGATGACAAAACACTATGGTTGTAACAAAGATCACTGTTTCCACCGATTTTGAACACTTCGAGATTCTTGATAAAGCTTGCATTGAACGGTAGAACTCCATGGAAGGCATTGTTAGCTAGATTCAAGTGTGTGAGATACTTCATCTTGGAGATGAATCTTGGAACGGTGCCGTTTAGTTGGTTCCCACTCAGATCTAAGTGTGTAAGCTCTGGAATCGAGGAGATTGAATCTGGGATTGGTCCTGATAGCTTGTTGGAGGATAAAGATAGGTTTTTTAGTGAGATTAGGTCGCCGATTGAATCGGGTATGTCGCCGGAGATGGAGTTTTTGGATAAATTTAGAGACTTTAGGTTTGAGAGCAGAGTAATGGAAGTGGGTATTGAGCCTTTGATCAAGTTATCTGATAAATCGATGAATGTGAGATTTGAGTGGAAAGATTTAGGGATGTTTCCGGAGAGATTTGCGTGAGAGATAGTCAAAGAGACGATCTTGTGCATATTTCCGAGGATAACGAAGAGACCAGAGGTTGAGACAGGAACAGAGGAGACTGTGAGGTCAGTGAGGTTAACGAGACGAGCTAGGAAGACTCCGGAGAGGCCATTGCGGTGGCGGAGGAAGGAGGAGACGGCGGAGAAGGAGTGGAGTGAGTCAGGGAGACGTGGAGGTGGTGAGAGAGATGGACAGTTGAGGAAAGAGAGAGAGGTTAGAGATGGTGAGAGAGCTCTGAGAGCTGTTGTGGAGATGGAGAGATCGGTGGAGCAATTTGTGAAGGAGATGGAAGTGACGAGACGAAATGGGGAGCTGGTGTCGCAGGTTACGACGGAGGAGGAGGTGGATTTGGTGGTGGGACGGTGGTTGCAAGGATCTTTGACGGTGGGGATGTTGAGAGATTCGAGGGCTTTGAGTTGTTTTGGGTCTAATGGGGAAGAGGAGGAGGAAGGTTTGTGAGGTGGGATGGGAGAGATGGTTGGAGATGGAGTTGGAGAGAGGGAAGGAGCGGCGGAGATAGTGGCTGAGAGGTGGAGGAGAAGGAGGAGTAACGGTAACGACGGAGGTTTCATGGTGAAGAAAGAGAGAGAGATTGAGAAAGAGAAGGATTGTGTCAGAGAAAGTAAAAGAGAGAAAGAGAAGAGAAGAAGAAGAGAAAGATTGGATTTTTCAAAGATGGGTCATGTGACAGTTGGGGTTTGTATACT